AAAAAAAAAAAAAAAAAAAAAAAAAAAAAAAAAGCCGCGATCGCGATCTGCGGCGGCAATTCGGCGGACGGTCCCTCACTCCCGCCGGGAGCAAAGGACCTCCCGCCGAATTGCCGCCGCAGATCGCGATCGTCGGCTTTTTTTTTTTTTTTTTTTTTTGGTCTGCTTGGGACGGCCAAAACCCTGGAGCCATTCCTGGGCTGGACCATGCCTTAGCACCAATTTCACCTGGAGAGGGGCTCAGACCAACTCCCCGCAGCTCCAGTAGCCCTGACCACATCACAGCACAGCTGAGCTCCTTGCCCTTCGTGGCTGGTCTTTAGCGCCATAACAGGCCGAACGGGAACCCCAGCATCCCTGAACGCTGGGAGAGTTGGATCCCAATCCAGTTTGTGACTCATCCCAATCTCGAGAGTAGCGAGATTTGAGACGGAGCATCCTGTTTGCACTTACTGAGAGACCTGGGCCAAGAGTAGGGGGAGGGATAGCTCAATGGTTTGAGCATTGGCCTGCTAAACCCAGGGTTGTGAGTTCAATCCTTGAGGGGGCATTTAGGGATCTGGGGCAAAAATCTGTCTGGGGATTGGTCCTGCTTTGAGCAGGGGGTGGGACTACATGACCTCCTGAGGTCCTTCCCAACCCTGATATTCTATGATTCTAGTGGCGTGAAACAACCCGAGTGAGGGAAGCAATGCGGTGACCACACAGCCCATCTCCCCCCAGTGAGAGCGGCAGGTCATTTAGTGCTGTGCTGCCTGCCAGTCTGTCCTAATTAAGGCACCACTCATTGTGTCAGATGGAGACTGCCACGATGGAACGAGTGATTACCAAGTATTGATCCACCCCCTGCCTGTGGGGACTAATTTGTTTATTGATGCCTGCTGCATGATTACGGCAGGCCTGAGCCTGGGACAGGGTGGGTTTCTTTCAGAACAGAGTGACCAATGCAGCCATTTGGGTAGGCAGATGTGCAGCACACCTCCCTGGGTGGGGGAATTTGCTCCATTCCCAAGCAGTGGGCTCACCCTTGTCAGCTGCAGCAGCCGTCTTCGCTTCTGATGATGGCCGTTTGATAGTGTCCAGGAAGAGGCTGGACATGTGGTGTAGGCAACAGGTCAGATCAACCTGGCAAGAAAGGCAACAGCTCCAGCTGCACTGCATGATCTGCTTTTGAAATAAAGCCAAATGTAGATGGCACGTGGAAAAATTAGGCCCAGCTCAGTTGAAGTGATAGGAGCCACTTTTACCTTAGCCGTGACTCTTTACGGTAAAAATTCTTGGGCAAGATTTTTAGAAGTGACTGGCGAGTCTGGGCACTGCCCTTTGTGGGGACCCCACCTGAGCCCCAAAGAGGCTTGACTTTTAGAAAGCGGCTGAGCACCTGCCCCCTGAAAATCACAACTCGTCTCGTTGGCTCAGTTTGGGCATGCAACAATCACTAACCACACCTGAAAATGTTGGCCCTTCGGATTGACATAGCGCCTCTGGGATTTCACAGCTCTTTGCAAACATGAATGGGTTAAGCCTCACCCACCCAGATGCAGTCTTTCAGTATCATTAGCCCCAAGTTACAGGTGGGGAAACTGAGGCCCGGAGCACCTCCACATATCTGAATCCCCCAGACAAGTTTTGTGTTTTTACAATCGCCCTTTCCTAGTTTGTAAGGTTTTCTTTCCTGACCCCGTTACTGGCTGAAAGGCCCCCCCGAGCAGAGGAAACTGTGAAACTGACTATAAACAAAATACTGTTGAATGCACAAAGTAAACAAACAGAAAAACAGAGCAAGTGTATATTTCCCTCTAATCTGCATGTATGGTCATTTTAGCTGGTCAACTTCTACCAATAGATTAAAATGTAATTTCAGACAACTGTGCATGTTTTTTTGTGTCCCTTTGACCAGATTGTATAAAACCTATTTAAAACATATCTAACAATATAAAACTAGTCCGTATAGCTACTGAACTATTAGCTAGTCTAAGTTCTGAATCATTTACTGTAGGGTTATAGTAAATAGCAGTTAATTAACATCACTTTAGTTTTATGTACGAAGTTAGCTAGATACACCTGAATCCATGATTAAAAAAAAAAATTAGATTTTTTTTACCAATGGGGGGTGGGGGAGGGACGGGAGAATTGGAAACAACCCCCCCCCCCCAAAAGGCCATGATACTCTTCCAAGGACGAGTTCCAGCCCCGGAGACACCAAAACGCCTCTCCACTCCCAGGAGACTCTGCAGCTTTCAAAATATGAACGTGAGTGTGGTGCTGTGCTCCTTGCACTTGGCACTGCTGCCCCCTTTGAGCTCTTGGGCGTTGGCTTCCCCCTTTAGTGGGGTTACCCCAGGAACGGGCTTGTGATAGCTAAAAGGCTGCAGCTATAACGAGGACACAACATTAAAGTTCCATGCACTCTTTATGAGAGCAAATAGGATTCCAGATGCCTGACGAGCATCTCGCTGTACTCAGAGGAAGATGCAAATCTCAAAACGTAAACTAATGAGGTGCTAGACTGTGGAAAGAAGTAAACTGTGCTGAGCCTTCAGCTGGTTTTCTAAGCATGCGGATTCATTTCGAGTCCAATGGCCCTGGACTGGCTGTTTAACTCCCGCGGAGGAAAGCATAGATCTCTTAGTCAAGAGTGGCTGAACTTGACATCAATCTCAGAGGCTAACCTGGAGAGAAGATTGGCAGCAGTTCGTAACGTATAGTTAAAGCATTTAGCTACTACAGGCTCTTCTGTGTTTATTTGCACATGGGTCACAGAGTTGGAAACTGAACTGAACCCAGCTGCCTCTTATAATTAATTTTTGGTTTTGTTTTTTTTAGTAACTCAAGCTGTTCTAGCTCCGTATTTAAAAGCCTTAGCAGCAAGCATTGAAGTTAACACCCTGTGAAAATGGTGGTGGGTAGGCTGGACAGCTGCCGGTTTCATCCTGCATGACTCGGCCAACAGGTTTACATGAAGCAGGACAGCGAGTAGAGAGTGGCTGTTAGTTCCTTTGAATTGGCTGTTTGCGTTCTGCATTAAGGTTAAATCTGTCTGACCCGCCTTTCGTTCGTTGCCCTTGGCAGTCCTGCTCTGCCTCTGATCCTGCAAATGAGTTGGCTAACCTCTCTCTCCCTCTCCCCAGTGCGATCAGTACAAGAAGGGGATCATTTCTGGTTCAACGTGCAAAGACCTGTGTGAGGAGCACACCCTGGTGTTCCAGCAGTGTCTTTCCTCATCCCCCACTCAGCAGGTAGGTAGGGCTGTCTGAGCTCTGGGAACTTAGCTTGGTGGGTAAATGAGTCTCTTCCCACAGGGGGAGTAGGCTACTGGTGCCCCTTTAAGATAGCCATGGGCCATGCACACCCCTACTCCTCAGAGCCTGGTTTGCACCATTCTTGTCACAACTGTCTTTTGCTTGGGAGGTCTGGGCTGAGCTTCTTAGAGACCTCAGTGGATGCTGCTTCCTTCTCCTGGAACTGCAGGCCAGCCTGTGCTGCTAAACAACTTCACCCATCCCCTGGCCCGTCTCCTACAGTCACAGCAGGGAGGGGGGGGGAAAAAACATTTAGGCCCTGATCCAAAGTCCATGGAAGTTCCTGGGAGCCTTTCTAAGGACTTTGGATCAGGCCCTTGGAGAGGAGCAGGTCAACCAGCTTTGCCTGGCCTCTGGTGGGGGTGGCATTGACAAGAAATAATCGCTGTACAGAAGCCGTGAGAAGAGTGCTTACCTGAACTCACTGGAGTCGGCATCCAAGATCCCCCTTAAATAAAATGGAGACTTGGTGCAATGCTGGGCTACCATGGCAGTTCTGTGGGGTTGCTTTTCAACCGTTCCCTTCATAGTTGGGTGAACACGCTCCCCAGACCACCTCCACTGTGGTTACCCCCCATGTGCCTCTGCACTGGCTGTGTCAGTGGAAAGGCCAAGGACTGAGTGGGCCACCCAGAACCCTTCTCTTCCTTGCCTGAGCGATGTTGGCACAGCAGCGTAGGCGAAGCTTACACCGCCACTGCCCATGTGGTGCCTGTGATGCAGATAGAGGGCTGCATGGCTGCAAACCCACCCTCTTACTGTTACCAATACGAAACTAACTGGAATTGGTGGAAGGAATCTCACTGATATCAGCCATTGGACTCTCCTGGGAACCCTGCAAGAACCCACCAAATAATTATTTGCATTTGCTTTCAGCCAGTCAATCTTCCCATGGTCACTTACCTCTGCTTTGGTCCAGGTGTACAGGGGGCGCTGGATGGAGAAAGAAGTGATCATTAAATGTGGTATTGAAGATGCTTTAAAGGCCGACAGCAAGCCCGATTCAGTGCCCAGGAGGGACCTGGTTCTCTTTGACAAGCCTACAAGAGGGACATCCATGGACGAATTCAGAGAGATGCTCCTGAACTTCCTAAAAGTCAGTGTCGCTGAGGCTCCCAAGCTCTCGCATTGCATTTTTCTGGACAGGGTATTATCACCTCTGTTTGGAAGGCCTTGGGACCAGCAATAGTGCTTGCCAGTGGGGAGAAGCCTAAGCTAAATGCATTCTTCTATCCTCTGTAATCCTTGAAAAGATCCAGTCCTGTCTGAAGGACTCTGATCCCCACTGTTTGTTGTAGAGTGAGGCTTCGTGTGATATGTCATATTCAAGATAATCCCCAGAGCAGATACCATAGGAACCACTAGATAAGGATATATATCGAACAAAACCACTGTGTTAGGTGCGAGGGTACATTTCAGTCTCATTTTGGAATTCTAGTTGCAAGACCAACCCTTACAATCAGTCAGAAAGGGACTCAGGCTGCTCCCTCCCATTGATTTCAACGGAAGTTAGGAGCCTAAATATATTTAAGGATCTGGGTCAAAGGCCCTTTTTGGCTCTTCTCTCAGCATTGCCAATACAGAGCCCTGGGCAATGTCCCATGCGCGTTTATATAGATGTTAAGAGGACTCTATTACTGGTTTTAATGCGATGCTACTGTGGCATCATTCTATTTTGAATTTATATAGAGGTTCTAAGCACTTATAAGTCTTTGTCTTTAAAATACCCTGTTGGAATTTGAATTTAGCTTTCTTGAACAGTTTCATTGAAAGTGTTCATTTTTCCCATTTTCAAAAATGATTTTTTTAAAATGCTGAATTAAAATGCACCCCACACCCACACTGATCAAAAAAATTATATAACCCCTCCCCCCCAAATAAAAACTTTTACTTCTTGCAACTTTTACTTTTTTCTGACCACCTCTACTCATGACTTTTAAAGCAGCCCAGTGCCCTTTTGCTAGGGAGGAGTTTATAATCCCAGTAACCCAGCCAGATTCCAATTCAGATCCCATTCTATTTGGGGGAGATAGCAAGGTGGTGTCTACTTGACTGAGGTATTCATTGCATCCGAGCCTAGAACTGCTGGGTAGCACTGCTGGGTGCTGCTAAGCACTTGCTACTTTTCACTCTGGTGTGGATGAAACAATAAAACCATATCTAGAGCCCTAAAGGCCATGTTATTTGATTACACTTTAAGTCATCCTGTTAGGAATACTCAAATCACTTCTCAGTTGGTAATTCCCTCCAAGTGAGGCGGGGATAAAACCTGCATTACGGGAAGAGAAATTAGTGATCTTATGTGACACGCCTGAAATGAAGTTTTCTGGCCTCTTAAAGCTGACAAGCACTGGCTTCCTTTTAACTCCTTTTCTAAGCTATCATCTTTAAAGAGGTATAAAAAAGGAATTTTCTTAAAGGGAGACTGCACGGATTAATTAGAACACCACAGACTGCTGCCGTACTTTCTGCAGAAGAGAGTCCCAAAATGTTCAGAAACATTTTAGGAACACTTGCCCCTGCTTTCATCCCAACGTGCTAGTTTCTCTCCTGCTACAACTGCATATTTGCAAATATTTAGTCTAGCTGCACCTCCTGATAGCAAGTAGGTTAAAATGCAAAAGTAGGAGCTTGCAAGCACAGACTTTCAAAGCCATGGGGAAATAAATGATGTTCTGTTTTAATGTGAGTCTCTACTGTTCCTGTGCAATCTAGCAATAATGTTTGAACCTAAATCAGGGTGTTAAGAGGACATCCTCTTATTTTGACTTTAGATGTATTTACTCTTTTGTAATTAGAATATAGAGTCAATTGCAATAGATTTCCTGTGAAGGAGGGGTTGGTTGCTCTGATCCCAGATTGGCTGCAACTCCAAGGGTAGTGGACAGGCACAAAGGTGTGGCCAGAGCATGCTGCACTCTGCCTATCTCCTTGAGGGCTTTTCCCACGTTAGAGCAGCTCTCAGCAGCAAAAGCACTAGGAGAATCTGAAGGGCTGTAACCAGCTGGCTACAGCAGAGCGCGCGTCTCAGGGTTGTTCTAGCACTTTCACCTCACTCAGAAAGCAGCACCCTACTACTTTGCCCTGAATTAATGTACACAATGGGTAAAATTTAAAGAGCTGATGTGATTTCTTATTGATTTGCAGGCTAACCTAGGAGATCAGACATCACTTGCAGCCTTGGTGAACCAAATCATCACCATGGCAGATGTGAACAGAGATGGAAAAGTATCTCTGGCAGAGGCCAAATCCATCTGGGCTCTACTTCATCTAAACGAATTCCTGCTCATGCTCTCCTTGCATGAGAAAGAGCACACCTCCAAATTGCTGGGGCACTGCGGGGACCTGTATGTCACAGAGAAGATCCCTCACAACTCCCTCTACGGTACTAATGTCCCTCACTTCTTCCAGCCATTGCTGCCTTCAGCCATCCATCGGATTATTCACCAGTGGTTTGCTCCAGCCTGGCCCAGGAGAGCAAAAATTGCCATCGGCCTTCTGGAGTTTGTGGAGGAGATATTCCATGGGACGTATGGGAACTTCTACATCTGTGAAACTAGCTTTAAGAACGTGGGCTACAACGACAAGTATGACTTCAAAATGGTCAACCTGAGGAAGGTGGCAACAGAGATGACAATCAGAGGTTTCCTCAAGGGACGTCACTGTGAGCAGAACGTGGACTGCACCTACGGGAAGGACTGCATGGCGACTTGTGACAAACTCATGAAGCAGTGCAAGGGTGACATGGTCCAGCCCAACCTCGCAAAAGTCTGTGGGCTACTGCAGGATTACTTGCTGTACGGAGCTCCGTCTGACTTGAAAGAAGAGCTACAGAAGCAGCTACGAACTTGTATGACCCTTAGTGGCCTGGCTAGCCAGATGGAAGTGCACCACTCACTTGTGTTGAATAATCTCAAGACCTTGCTTTGGAAGAAGATTTCAAATACCAAATATTCCTAACAGGGCAGCCGTGATGGTGGGCTATAGTGTTGGTATCCAGTTAAGGATAGAAGGTCATGCCTCTTCGTTCCGCCAGAGGAAATGCACCAGAAACAGGTAGTTCACATGGCTGCAGCCCTTTTTCCTTCATGAATTCCCCCCTCCCCCCCCCCCCAGTAAAGCATCAATGACCCATGCCACTCAGCAAAATCATCAACAGCGTGCTTTAGGTCTGTAAAGAACATGATGCAAAGTAGAAATACCAAGAGCCTGGCTGAATAGTTTTGGGGGAAGAAGATAAGAGGAACCAGAGTCGCGCTGCACCTCTTTCCTGCTAATCAAGGAACAATCAGAGAATGAATCATCATGCTGTAATTGTCATATCTTATTTTGATGAACACCTCTGATGTAAATAAATAGCTTTTGTGGGAGTAGCACTGGTACATCAATGGTAACCAGCCTTTTAAATACCAACGTCCTGGTGATTCTTAAAAGGTAGATTATCCCAGCCTGGAGTCTGCACAATTTATTTTAATGTCGGAATTTGATACTGTAAAATTCAGACAGTGTTGGAAGCCGATAGACAAGCTCACCCACCCACCCACACTTTGATTCTGGTTGTTACACACCTTCCTGAACTGCCTGACCACATAGTAGGTAGGTTCTGGCAAATTCTAGGTTTCGTGTAAACAGTTGCTACGCTTGCGAGAAGGCGCATTACCTGGTGGACCGCACCATTACCCATTTACATTGTTTAATAATGTATGAAAATGATTACAGTTAAAGGAAAACACTGATGGCTATAACATAAGGATAAAACAGACCTATACAAATACAGAAAGTCCCCAGGCAGACACAAACCAAATTAACATAGTGGCATATATGCTACATGGTATACTGTATTCCCCATATCAAGAGAAAAAACAGTGCTCAGACACCAGTTCAGGTCCAAATCCACCCCTTGGTTTAATCGGCACTTTTAAAATTGACAGGATTTGACTGGAAAGGTAAAAGGCTAATCCCCCATTAATCCACTGCTCTTCCCCTGCACCCAAATAAAAATAAAGGAATTTCAGACAATTTTTCAGTAAGCAACAAAAACAAATCTCATTTGGCTGTCTGAACACTACCTGCTATTGAAGGACTGACCCTTTGTTTCCATTTGTATTTACTTATAATAATCCTTTAGCATTCAAGATGCTCTGAACACATGGATTGAGCGGGGTGTTTAGTTTATGTAAACTATTGTTGGTTCTCCATTCCCTGCACGATTTTATCCATTCTGCTAGACTGCATGCTGGTGATCCGACAGTAGCTTCGTGAAGTTAAGCACATCTGAAGTACAATCACTAGAAAAAAAAATTCTGTCCCACGGGATATATGGCCTCTGAAAGCAATCTTTAATGTCATAGCTGTAAAGTTATGAGCCCTTTGGAGTGGAGATATCAGTCCCTTCTATTAGTTCTAGAAGATCATCATCACCACTCAACTGTTATTTATGGGGGAAATGTTTTAGTGGCAACAAATGCTTTAAATCTAGCTTGCAGCCAGTCTAACTTGCTTTCCCAGAGCCAGGCCAGCTTTGCACCACAGTAATTCATACACCAGAAGGCTAAGCATCTTTTGTGGGGGGTATTTTGTTTGGGGTTTCAGATTAATTGTGTTATGTCCATAGAAGTTACTCTGACTTGTTAAATACTATACAACTACAGTGGGTAGAAAAAAGGAAAAGGGGCCTAGAAATGCAAAGGCAAGGCCAGCAATCCGAACGTGATGCATGCTATTGCATTAAAAGGACACTCGGCTGAAGAGTTTTTAAGGATTCTGCCTAGTTAAGTGCCAGATTTTCCATCTGTTGCCAGTTGAATCAGAAGTAAATTTAAATAATTTTTTGAATGCAATTTAAAAATAAAATAATTGGAATGGTTCAAATGGATATTACTTATGGTACTGTGAATACATCAATAAAATTCACTTTAGACAATTGGGTAGGCCCTTTTCTCTTTAGACTGACACTTAAATGATGCCCCCACCCCAAGGCAGGAAGAAAGTCAGTTTAAACTAGTCTCTTTATGGTTTCACTATCCATTTGCTAATCTGAAAATGCCTGGAAACTACATGCATAGAGCATTATCAGGAACACTCAGAGAAGCAATGTGAAGATCAGAATAGCTATTTATTCTTTATTGGCACCTTGGCTAAACAGGTTACAGAGAACATTTAGAGTTGCAAAGAATATATTTACATCACCGCAGATTATATTCACATTCACTGTCTGTAGTGCTTGCAGTGACTTTGAGGCAGTGCATGGCAGAGGCTGAAGATATATCTAGCAAACTTCAAGTGCAAAGACCCCGAATGGTTTCTTTTGCTGCTGCCAGGTTTGTTAGAAAACACAAACCTACAGGCGTCATCTGCAAACAAAGTGCCCCAGCATATTAGATAAATGCCGTCCTCATATAGTGCTAGACATTGCAATACTTCCGTAGCCCAGGAAGGTACATTATACTGCTCCTCAAGCATGTCTGGTTTGACACCTCTGATTGTGGCTCTGAGGGGAAAAAGAGAAGCTGATCAGTCGCTGCATTTAAGACCTTGCTGATTTCTGTGGTACAGCATCTGAGTACTTTTCACATTTAAAATGAACATACGCCTGATTGGCGACAAGATGATCTTGTCCCTGTAGCCAATGAACCAAGGATGTTGAACCGACTCAGTTATGACTCAAGGACTATTCAGAGAATTTCATTTCTCAAAGAAAAACAGCTCCATAAATGAAACCCAGTTTTCCAGGAAAGTCATTACAACGGCTAAATGAATTCGAAAGACGCTTACATTTTAACCACTCCGTGCCCAAGAACAGTGGTAGGTGGACGTTACTAAGAAACAGAGCAATATGGACTCTCGGTGGGTAAAATTTATCCCAGCACTGAAGGCCTGGCAGGAGGCCCTATGCAACCTGTAAACCCCAGTGAATCCCTTTGACAATGCATTTAAGTCATGAATATGGCTCTGTGCATGCACCGAGCTGAATTTCATTCCAGTAAAGAATACTCAGGGCCCATTTAACGAAGAGGACACAGGGTTAAGAAGCCGTTCACAACCTCGGCCTGGCCCCCATTAAGCCCCCACTTCGGACTAAGGTACGCAAATTCAGCTACGTTAATAACGTAGCTGAATTCAAAGTACCTTAGTCCGAACTTACCGCGGGTCCAGACACGGCAGGGAGGCTCCCCCGTCGATGCCGCATACTCCTCTCACCGAGCTGGAGTACCGGCGTCGACGGCGAGCACTTCCGGGATCGATCCCAGAACATTGATTGCCTGCCGCCGGACCCTCCGGTAAGTGTAGACGTACCCCTCGTGATTTGTCCACAGCAAGAGATTCCATTTTTGCATAGGGTTATTGGGCGACACTGAACCATCAGCTTCAGGATATGGGTCACTCAGGAAAAAGGTTAAAGACCTAATCATTTGAGTTTAGCAAGCCATAGGGCTTTTTTCCAATCCTTTCTTGCTGCGAGGGTCTTCTGCCTCCCTCAGAGTCCTCTGCCAGTTCCCATGTTCCCCCCTAATCACCACTGTAAAGCCAACTTGTAGCCACCTTCCTTCCAACTGCAGAGGAATGAAGCATCAATAGCCAATCTCAATGAGCAGATGCTACTGGTGAGCAATGCAAGGCTTTTTCTCTGCCTCCCACCTCAAAACTAAAATGTGTGCTAACCTCACAGCAGGTCCAAGCCCGTATCAATCAGAGCCAAAACTAAACTGCATGATTACGTCAGCAAGTAGGCTTGAGATTGAGAATCTATGTTAGTGTAATTTCTATGCGGAGGTGCTGCAAGAGGGATGTACAGGGAGGATCAATAACAGAAGGACATCAAAAGCTAAATTAAGCAGTCCGGCACCTGCTCCAACTCTCACTTTCTTTAACTTACACCTTCCTACCGCTGCTCAGTATGGAGATGCAGCTATTTAGACACCCTTATGAAGTCTAGCTTGGATTTTGGCTCTTGGTATTCAAACTGGGTCTCCAATAGCAACAGAGCATTACCCAAGATGCCACTGAGCTGCACCAAAGGAAGGATTTTTTCCCCCCAAAACCATTTGCAATCAAGGATTTACCATTCTCAGCTGCACTCCAACAGATTGGATCCCGCCTTCGTTATTGACTAAGATTTTATTACTTGGCTATTATGCAAATTACTTCATCTCCTTTGGCAACTAATTTCACTAATATTATCGAGTTGTAGTAGTTTCTGGGCATATTGAGTAATAAGACTTGATACAAGAACCCATCTCAGATAATAACACCATTGCCACAAGCTGCAGGTAAAAGCCCATGGCAGCTGATAAGCGAATCTGATGCAGAAACCAAATTATAGCAATATTTATGAAGAGATTATTGCCATATATTATAAGTATGAATTCTAAGACAACCCTAGAAGAAAAAGTAAAGGCAGCATAAGCTAAACTGGGTCTCAAGTCATGTTTTATGTTTAATTTAGAATATGCAACAATGCACATTTTTAACCTTTCTTAATACACGTGCTTCTTGACTAGTTTACTAAGTTTCTCATTACATCAGTAATATTTCAACTCTTCCAAGTTTTTTTTAAATCCTCCAAGTTTGTCTCTTATAGCTTTTCCATCATATTCCTGTTTTCATGAGTTCAAGATGTTGGTGGGGGAAAACAACAAAAAAACAAAAACAAAAAAAACCTTGAAGTGAAATCATAGGACAGTTCCACAAACTATTGTTTGTTCCGTATTAACACTTGTGTCGAGACTGGAACTTTCATTCTCTCAAACTCAGATCCTCAAAGGCCGGACACCACGTGGCTATGGTGATTTTACAACTGCAACCCTCACACTGCTGGAGTGCTTAAATCAAAACGTGTTGAAATCCTAACCTACTACCTATTTGCAGTGTCTCATGATGCTAATCACATCTGCAGGAAATTACATATAAATACCTGATAAAGTAACATTGAACTCAACTGAGGCTTCCATGCTCGCCTGTTTAATCCTTAGGAAGGTTGGTATTTTCCTCACTGCCAGCTAGAGAGCACATAGTGGAACACAGGATTAGTTTCTCTTGAACTCATTTAGCTGTGTCCAGGTCCTGGAGCAGTGACTTCCATAAGGTACTGTATGCAATATCTAGCCAGTGAGCAATAGCCTAATCTCTTAATTTCTTTATATTCTTTGGATTGAGTCAGACCATTACTTAATTGTGTAGTTAGTCCAAAAAAGCCATTATCTTAAATTTTGCTCAACATCTCAGACTGTAATTATGCAGATCTCTTCCCCCCCCCCCCACTCTTTTTTAAATTATCTTGATTCTTAATTGGCTACCATTTTACTACTGACCTCCTTCTGGCACAGCTTTCAATATGCTATGCTATAACTCCACCCCCTCAATCTCTCCTCACATGGGGTATGCATGGTTAGATAGATGGGAGTCTCAAAAGCGCTTTATTTTTCCCAATATTTACATCTTGAATATTTGTGATTTAAATGCAACATGTGCAATGGTAAAGACTTGGTTCTAGATTCTGATGTATGAGTCAATGTGAACAATGGTTTTTCTTTCAAAACATGTCTTACTTTAAAAGGTTGGTATTTTCAATGGCTGAAAGTCAGAACCATGGATGAGTCCCCCAGAAAGGTATAGTCCATATTTGGATTGCTGTCTGCCTTTGGGAAGAGAATTATTAACTAGCACTATTAACATGTTGGGAAATCCACTTCAAACTTATTAACATTCTTTTAAGAAGCCACTGCTATCGGGCAGTGCCTTTTCTCAATTAAATGGCTCATTTTGCAGCCACCAGCTATTCACTTGGTTAATGGTACCTTTGGCCCCTCTAATGCCCACTTAATGAGGACATTATCCAGCATTCAGCACTGCCAAATTTTGTCAAGCTATTTGTCAAAGCCTTCGGGAGTTTTAGAATGCTCAGTCTGGCCATAGCCTTCCTCTTCAGTCACCTTACAACACCAATACAGTGGAGGGCTATCTCCACTATACCCCCGAGATGGCATAGGTGTTGCACAATTATTACAACATGTTTATATCTTTGCTCCCTAACAGCTCATTAGCTTGGAGGTCAAGCTTCTTTGCAGATGCATTAACATATAAACTCAGTAGAAAACTTACAAGCCATGTTGCACCTTTAAAGAAAAGTTGTTTTTTTTTAATCAGATCAAAGCATTTCATCTTTGGATGCACTCTTAAGTTTATTCCTCTCTTATAAAAGGACTTCACTGAATTTCTGCACAGAGTTTGGATTGGATATTGAAAGCGTATTCTTTTAGCTGATCTATTCCTTTAACATATCTGAATTAACGTCTGTTTTATTACAAACTTGTGACATATGAATGCTTTTGCAGTGTTTGAAAGGATTTTGCAAACAGACGTGTGGAAACATACAATCAGCGTTAAAGTTCTTTAGCAAATGTGTTTACTGGATTTAGCATAATTTTGTTGTTGAGACATTTGAGAGAAATGCTGTGCTTTAATAACTTTGTATTACAAGTTAATTGCTATATTAATGCATTAAGACCAATTTAATTTGAAACCAAACAGTCCTTAAACATGCGGATTACTTTAAAAGGTAAGTGATTTTCATTTGTTGAAATGGTTGTTTAAAAAACCTTAACACAAACCCAATTTCTACAGAAAAGTCTGATGCAAAGAAAACAGACAGCCTCCTCACTCTTCCTCCCCAAATTAATAAATTGTTTAGCCACTGTAAATGTCTGCATCCATTCTTTAAGGATATAGACTCAAAGTGGCCAATGCTTCCTGTCTGCCTCCTTCTGGCATAAAGACAACACTGCAGTCGTAGTTATGTCTCCACGGGGCAGTAACTGATTAGCAGGCAACGGTAAAAGGAAAATTTAAAAACGTAGCCTTGCCAAGTGAAGTAGC